TTTTACTATATATATATATATATATATATATATATATATATATATATTATATTTAAGAATTATTGTTTTAGATACGGGAAGAATGGAATTTTATGTATGGGACTTACCATGCAAGAATCCTCGAGACAAAGTTAAGTGAAAGACAGTTTTGGATGCAGTATTTGTGTGTTTTTTGAAAAAAAAATTTAATAAAATAAAATAATAATTTTTCCCTTTCTTTTATATAAAACTAAAAAAAGAACCCGAGAACAAGTGAAGATAAGACAGGACTGTGTATAAAAGAGTTTAGTTTCTATAAATAAATATGAGTAAAAGAAGGAATCAAATATAGAATTAGAGGAGGTGTGGTATGTCTGCCCCTCACCAAGGTTGAGTCCTAATAATTGCTTCCGGGACCATTTCCTCTCTCGGTCCCAATTTTAAAGCACCGATTTAATTCCCCATATTACCTATATTTCACTTTCATATATATATATATATATATATATAACCGGTAATGCCGGTTTAGAGATGCTTTTTTTTTTGTTGGTATAATCGGTTTAGAGATGCTAACCGTCGGTTTTTTGTTGACCGACATTATAGAATATGATTGCATACACTCTTTACATGTAAATATATGGGGTTTCCATTGGGACGAGCATCATGGTGGTTATGGATTAATACTAATAACGAATCGAGAGTTTCATGGTAGAAATTCGATATGGACATGGAAAATACATGCATGCATGCATGCATGCATGCGTCAGTTTCAGTTTCATGTGGTGACTGTAATAACAACAACATAAAGATACATTAATTAACGCCGGTTTAATAACTCTTGACGAGTTTCTTGTTTGGACAAAAATGGTCCCTTTTATTTCAGACGCCGGACACTCTGTGTACCATGCACATTTATATGCGTGTATATATATTTAAACAATTGAAAAATAATAGAGTTTATATATGCTATTACAGCTTCTACTTAGTTTGAATTTTCTATGGTATTATTAAGACTAGATTTTCGTTCTACTACAGAAATTAAATTATATTTTTAAATTCCGATATGATATATACCTAGCCTTACAATTTGACAGAAATATTTAACATATATACGTCTACGTAGGCTCTACGTAGGTGCATGATACTATCATACTATATAGCCTGACCCTCGTCAATGAACAATATTTTAACCTTAGTGACAGAGAAATTAAATAGCACATAAAGTATTCATCTATATGCTTCCTTTTTTTTTATCTTAGTATATATATTTTTAATTTTAACAAAAAATAGTTAGCTCTGAATAGACATACACGCATATAAATATATTATTTAGATTTTGAAAATTTGAGAAACAAACTATATATATATATATATGTTATCGTCTAATAATATAAAAAGCACACGATATTAATAAGGAGAAAATCTTAATAGAAGGTATTTTGAGTCCATTATTAAAAAAAGAGTTAGAAAAATTAAAAAGAAAGCCAAGAACCCTAGTTTATTCTGAAGTGCGTAGCCCATTGTGCTGTTCTAACGACAGCCGGAGTCAGCGCGTTGGACTCTGCCTAGTCTTTCCCTTTATTATTTGGACAGTTCCACACTACAACGATGCTTTGAACATATATATATATATATATATATGTAATTATGTATATATATAAATCATGATCCAGTGAATGCAAAATTTACACACGGTAGGTAGATGATGAGTCCACTTGCTATTAAATTTAAAACATGCCCTTTTTTTACTGCGTTTTTTTAACATATCGTGCCTTACTGCAGATGAAAAATCTTTTTGTTTTGATACATATACCAATCGATGGAGATGTGAAGGGGAAGGCAATCAAGGGCATGCATTTCTTTCTTTCTCTCTCTTTTTCCAAGAAGCCGAATCGAATTTTAGGGTTCGGGTATGAGTATGGGTATGAGATATAGTAGTATCCATCGAATCTTGAAACCCTTACCACGTGATCGCGAGGGTTTTGATTTAGGGTTAAGATTAGAGTTTATTAAAGGAGATGATGAGATTTTTTCTCTCTCCCAATTTTGCTGAAATTGATCTTCATTTCTCGTGGGTCCCCGTTCATCGGGTCTTTTGTCAGTCGCCGCTCGCTTCCCCTCATCCACGGGCCACGGCTCCTCGCCATTCGTCGGGTAAATCTTTGGATCTGCATTTCTTTCGGTCTTCACATCCTTTTGGTTGCCTCGCCGGTCGGGTACCCGACCATCACGAGACCAAAAAGCTGGTATTCCTGATCGAAAAATCTGAAGCAGCAAAACCAAGGCCGGGTCGGGTACAGGAAAAAACTCGGGTACCCGCCCACACCGACCAATACTGGATTCAATCCGATGAAAGGACGAATGTAAACCAAAAGATTCAGGTGTACAGAACGAGTTTGGATTATGGAAGAAGAAAAAAAGTTCTACTCAGGGAGCGAGTTACCTTGCAAAATCTACAAAAACCAAAGCCTTACCTGAAACTGAAATTCCATCGTCTCGGAGGTATTTAAGTTCTTCCTGAAGACGTTCGGACTGCATTTGTGATAAGCTTACGCATATGTATCTCTGTCCATTGCCCTGAATCATGGATCAGGATCCCGCATTTTCCTTCGGTTCAGATTTGGAATTATACTGCAAAAAGTTTAGAAAGCTCCTCGGCTAAGCCATATAGTCGGGACATGAGTTGAGAAGATTCGAGGTACATGGTGTTCCTTCCCCCCCTTTGTGTGTTTTTTGAAAAAAAAATTTAATAAAATAAAATAATAATTTTTCCCTTAGCTGTGATTCTTAGACGAGCAGGCTCTTCTTCCCTCTGATTTTTCCGTCTCCAGAAAGACCGCCTCCACCAGACCTCAAATCCTCTCTGGAGATTCGGGCAATCTTCACTTGAGTTCAAGAACCTATCAAACCAAGCTAAGAAGAACTCTTGTTGCCAAGCTAGAGGTAGTGTGAGGATGGTATTGCTCAATCCTTCCTCTATTAGATACCGATCAAGCCCTTTGGATGCTCTCCTCATCCATCCGAAATCGTTGTAGAATGGTGTCAGCCAGTTCCTCAAAAGCAGACACCTCACTTCCTTTGGCGCCAGAATTTGTCCCTTCCCGATTCCGACAAAGAGCCTAGCGGTCACTCTGCTGATCTCGTACCTGTGAACAGCCGGGACCTTAGGATGCATCTCAGATAACTCGGAGAGAGATGCCCATGTTATCAGAAAATCCTCAGCTATTTGTCTGTCTATCAGAATGTCCAAAACCCAATGCAGATTATCAGCTTGTCTCCCAATCTGGTCTACGTTTTCCATATCCGACGCTGCCGCCTGGAGAAAATGATGCTTAAGCATTTGTAAACACCCATCACAAGCCAGATACAAAGACTCCTTGCTAAGATCATTCCCAGATGAATTCTCGTGGAGCATTTTTGAAACAAGGGTTTTCATGTCACGCCTCGCTTTCTCATCTTTGCCTTCAAGAACAACGTGCAGAAGCTTTAGAAGCACCTCGTCGTTGCTACTGTTACTTCGGTTGTTCCCCTGGCATGCTTCTGCAGAAACCCTTCTTAGAACTTCTGTTGCCCCTACGTTTTCAAGGTGTAGCTCAGACAACAGCGAAGCGATTTTTTCTTCTTCGTCCTCAGACCATGGTGCTGCTTCCAAGTACTCAAGACATGACAGTACCCCAGCATCAAACCCAATTGCAGCTGAAACCTGAGAAACACAAAAGGAAATTGGCAATGACCAGGTAGAACATGTGTATGAACTCTTTTTCAGTTTGTAATTTCTGTAAACCCAGAGATAAGACATCAAACCAAGTAAACATGCAGCATATTACACGCTGTTAATCAAGGATCTGAAATGAGGTTGACTGTCAGCTCTTAAACTTATAACTGGTATAATCGATCATGCGACATTCACTTCAAAGTTCTCAAGCAAAAAGAGAGATGACAACTATCTGATGAACCCCAAGAACCTCTGGTTCAAACAATGCAATGACGAGAGATCAAGAATCTGTGACATCACAAGTCGTATCTGTACTTGTGATGAACAATTCAACTACCCAATTCGTACAAGACAAATCAAGTTGGACCAGATAGACACTTGAACAGACTTCAAATTGCAATTTCCAATTCAACCAGATAGAAACTGAATCCAGGTTCTTGCGTTTCTCCCATGGCAAGAAGTCACAACAATGATCTATGGATAATTTAAGTCCAAACAACCAGCTGTGATTTCACCTGAATCACAAACCATGTTCTTAGATTCAAACAGAGTCATGCCTTCAAACAGTAAGGAATCCGACTGTTTGACTTTCCTCGTTGCGATAATTCTAAAGTTCAAACCTTCCTATTCCAACCATCCTATTCCAGAAAAGCTGCTAAATTCGAGTTGAATATTCCCAAATTACCTTCAAAATGCCGAGAACCCTAAGAACGTCTTGTCTCATCAGCTTCTTCCTCAGATCCCTGCAGTACATCAACATCAACGTTTCTATATATACCTCAACGTCGTCACAATCCGAGATCTCGACAATATACGGGGAAGACGACGGCGGTCGCTGCTGCTTCGACCACCGATCCGACAACTTCATCGCAAAAAACCGACTGTGAGCGACAAGAATCTGCCTGTGTACGCTCATGGTGATGCTAATCCCGTCCTTAGAGCTCAGCGTCAGCTTGACGTCACTTGACGTAGGGTCGTTGAACTGGTTTCCGGGGCTCCGACTCGCCAGGAGATCCGAAATCTTCTGCATTGCGAGCGCCTGCTTGTCCTGAGCTGAGACAACGAGGTGATTCGCCGTCTTCGCACCAGACGACGACGATGACGGTGAAGGCAAAACGCCGTTCCGGATCTGAACCGGCGTCCTCGCTAGTGAATCAGGCTCGCTGGCCATCATCTCGAAGAGCGGTCGACAGTT